TTCCGCTTGAACGCACACAATACACAGGTAATCAACAGAGAGAGTGCCTTAGACATCGGGTAGTCTGTGCATCTAGTGAAGTCACAAGATCACAGTACAATGTAGTAAGGTACCAACAACAGAAAACTGCATAGTTACGGTGCTGCTCAGTAATATTCTTTTGCTGATAAAATGCATGTTTTTTAAACTATGAATAAACTATTATTCAGGTTTTTTTTTACCGTTTTAAAATTAAATTAATATATTTTTTTTACAAAACCAGGTTGGCTTAGCAAACCCCTCTAGTTTTGACAGATTCTCCAGTTTATGTAAATTTTTTCTTCAGTTAAGACAGTTTGAAATTTCATTAACTGTACACGTGTGTTTATATTCCAAATCATATTGACAGTATATACTCAAGTAAGTTGAAAAGCACAAGTTAGGGATTCTGAAAAGAATTCAATTTTTAATTTTTTTAGTGTTTAAAAATTTGCACATTAGTTGTATCTTGGAAGTCAGCTTGACATAGAACTAAATTAATTGTAGGTGCATTTAAAGTAAACTAAGACAACTTGAAGTCAACTGCTTGCTTTTCTAAAATTGTCAGATTTAACATTTTTTTAAAGCAAAGTCTAAAGTCTTGTGTTAAAGTTAAATTAAACTAAAAACATTTTATCAAAAATTTGTGATGATCGGTCTTTAAAAACGCTACAAAAAGTACCCCTAAAATGCTGGAAAATGCACCATTTAGAACCATTTAAAACAAAAACACCCCCTCCCATGCCCTCCCCCTTCGGCCCTGTGGGCCTCAACCCCCCCAACATGAACTTCTGGATCCGCCACTGGCCTAGAGGGTGGTCCGGAACCCCCCCCCCCATTTGCATAGTTAATAAAAAAAAATGTATATACTTAACCAGCCATTAGTTACATTGGTGGCCACTAGAAAACGCAGATCCGTGTAAAATTGATATGAAAAGTCAAAGATGTCAAAGATATGAAGGTTAAGATTTTTTTGTACCCGCGCCAAGTCACGACCGCTATGGCCTCCCCCCCTTAATATCGGGGTATTTGGTACCAAGGGTGAAATGTTAAATAATAATGATAATATTTTTAATCCAATGCATTGAATGATTTTTATTTTAAATATATAAAATTATAAATGTATAGTTATAGGTCTCATCAGGTCATTATACCCCACATTATAACATTATACCCTGTAAATTTTATTTGTCTTGTAGAGAAATATTAATAAGAATTATTTTCACTTTTTTTCTCATAAATCTTACTGAAAATGAATTTCATATTTGAATTATAATCAGTTAAAAGAATTTTTTGTTGGTACTTGAGTGACAAAGGTTCATTACAGGGCATTATACTATCTGGACATTATACCGCCCCCTAACAGAAAACTGACCAATCACAGAAGCGTTATGTGTAGCAGAAGCTTTCGCGGACTTGAAAGTTGAAAACAAGCTACAGCCGCTATAGGAGAAGGTTTGAACACTATGATATGTTATTTTCATTCATATTCTTAATTTATTTGTTTTCTTCACCACTGTTTGTTCAGTTATGTTGACTCGCAATAAAATATCACGGACATGTATACAGTCTATAGAATGTCCCTTGTAAAACCATCAACAGAGTGTTTGTTATCTTATAACCAGCAAGATTTGCATGTTTTAGCCCAATAGAAGGGGAAATTGATACAAAAGGGCAGGCATTAGGTTTTGAAACACTTCAAACAGAAAATGTGAAAAGGCTGAAACTGTAAAACCAGACCAGATATTTGAACATGGACCCATATGGTCTATTACGGATATATGAGCTATCAGCTAGTCCACCATTCCCTTCTCCCTGTTCCTTCTTTTTAATTGTCTTTTTTGCCAAAGACATCAGGAATTGTTTTTCTCAAGGTTTTCATGTGTCTGTTAGATGGATTCATGCCATCCGGCTCACAAGAGCACCTTGACTTGAAAAAATTTAAAACATAGTTGGTTATTTAAGCAAAGACATTGACGTTTTAGAGGAATAAATGATAGATATTTTTAAAAATTTTAACTAACTTAAAATAGGATTGTGATCGAATAGCTTAATTGGCCCAGTGAAGCATCTGTTACCAGAGACTACCTGGGGGTCTGGGTTTGATAATGTAAATAATGCAGTCCATTAGGGCTGGGACGATACAACTTTTTCTATATCTATACGTATCACGATATTTGACCCATGATACGATATGTTTAATTGCTTATAAAATCTTTTTTTGCATTGAAATAATCAAATTATTTCTTTGCAAATAATTTACTTTATTCAGAATAGTTGCTTATGTTGTAAAACAAAAATGTTTTACTCAGGTGTTGTTTATTATTATTTATTTCATATCTAGTATGTTTATATTTAGCTTATTTGTCTTATATATTAAACCCCAAATGCTAATTAAACAAAGAAAAATAGAAGTAAGATTTTTTGGGGTGATATTTCGATTTTTTTTTATACGTATCGATATGCGTATCATCCTCATAGATTTCTCGATAAATTGTCCCAGCCCTACAGTGCATTGCATTTCCTACATCTCACTCTAATGAACTGAAACAAAAGGAAGAAATAAAAGAGCATAGAGACTAGCCTTTAAAAAAAGATGAGCCCTTGAATACAAAACAGATACCTTTCAAACCAAACTGCATGTCTGGTACCACCATAGACAAGCAGTGAAATACACCTGTCCAATTGCCTTATTTTCACCTTGACCATTTAAATTAAGATTTTCAGAAAATTTGAATGAGCAGACAGATATGTTTATGTGTACTTATTAATATAAATTTCTCTTATAGAATGGAGAACAGTGAAAAAACAGATTCATCTAAGATCACAGCATACTTGACCAGTCCAGGTATATGATATTTTCATTGACATGCATGCATGCATTTATTAACATTCAGAGTGAAGCATGGTTAAGTGATCATGGTGATAATAGCATTGTAACATCAATATCTCAATATTCTATAAAGGTATTATATTTAGCGGACTATTCTATTTAGCGATTTTGGTGGAAAACAGAATCTGCTAAATCAAATACATTGCTAATTGTCTTTTATATCATATGTACTAGTGGAAAGTAAAGTGGAGAAAAATGAGAGTAAATGGTTGATTCCTTTATCTAAATTGTTAAATTCATTTTTTAGGAAAGAAGAATTGTATGGAAAATGATAAATCTGATTCCAAGTGTTTCACCCCTTGTAAAGTAGAATTGAATGTAAGTTTAGTTATCAGCTAGTATTTATAAAAGTACTTATATGTGTTTTCTGAATTTCAAAGCAACTTTGGAGTTATAAACAAATGACTAATATTCAAATGGTGTTCTGAATCATATTTTGATATTTAAAATAAAGGAAAAATGTTTGATGATTTTTATATATTTTTTAAATGTTATATATGAAATGAGTGTACTAGTAAACAGCTTTTAATTTAATTATTTCAGTCAAATTCCTTTGCAACACCTTGTAGTGATAGGAAGGGAATCAACAAAACAGGCAAACCAGTGATGACCGTCAACTCACCAAGGGCCAGGATGAATAGAAAAAAGTAAGATGTGTGTTGAACAAAACAAGTGCCAAAACCATATATATTGCTTTAGAAAAAGGGATAAATGTGTTGGATTAAACCCAGGATTCAATCACAAACCTTTAAACTATAAAATAATATGTAAAATCCAATCAGTCTCATTAGCTCACCAGAACCAGAACAGGCTAAAGATACTGCTTGAGTATCAAATACATGCTTAAGGTTGAAAGATAATACAGGTCAGGCCTAGACAGGCTTTCTTGCAAATTAAATATTTGAGGTAAAAGATATTAAGGCTACATAAAATTGAAATTCTGGTTCTCAGGCCCGCGCGCATCCGTTTTGAGGTAGCTGCATTGCTTATTTTATTGTATTTTTGATAAAATAAAAAGTTGGTATTGCAGAGACCAATCCGGAAGAAAAAATTCCATTTTAATTATACCCCCCGCAAACGAAGTTTGGTATAGGAATCACCTTGTCCGTCTATCTAGCTGTCCGTCCGTCTGTCTGTGCAAACGTGTCCGGTCCATATCTTTCTTATGGAGGGACATTAGAATCTACTATTCCACACAAAGATTGCCCATGACCTAAGGGTGTGTCATGACCTTGACCCAAGGTCATTTGGGGAATGTCAAGGTCACTGGAAGAAAAAGTTCATAATTCTTTCCGGTCCATATCTTTCTTATGGATAAACTTGGTAGGTTCTCATTTCACAAGATTGCCCATGACCCAAGGGTGTGTCATGACCTTGACCCAAGGTCATTTGGGGAATGTCAAGGTCACTGGAAGAAAAAGTTCATAATTCTTTCCGGTCCATATCTTTCTAATGGTGAAACTTGGTAGGTTCTCATTTCACACAAAGATTGCCCATGACCCAAGGGTGTGTCGTGACCTTGACCCAAGGTCATTCGGGGAAGTTCAAGGTCACTGGAAGAAAAAGTTCATAATTCGTGTCCAGTCCACATCTTTCTTATGGATAATCTTGGTAGGTTCTCATTTCACGCAAAGATTGCCCATGACCCAAGGGTGTGTCATGACCTTGACCCAAGGTCATTTGGGGAAGTTCAAGGTCACTGGAAGAAAAAGTTCATAATTCTTTCCGGTCCATATCTTTTTTATGGATAAACTTGGTAGGTTCTCATTTCACACAAAGATTGCCCATGACCCAAGGGTATGTCATGACCTTGACCCAAGGTCATTTGGGGAATGTCAAGGTCACTGGAAGAAAAATTTCATAATTCATGTGTGATACATATCTTTATTATGGAAAAACTTGCTTCTGAAAAAACCCAGCGGGGGGTATTTTGTCCCGTTTGGACAGTTCTAGTTTTTACGTAGTTTAGTATTCAAATATCACTTCTGGTAGCCATTTTCAAAGAGATTTTGGCAACTTCGTTTGAAAAGACATTTGAGGACATTGCCTACGATGTTCACATGCTGATAAGCAATAGATAAAGCAGACCTTTTAATCAGACATGGAAAGTATATCTGTGATTAAAAAAAATTATCTTTATGTTCAAGAAAATTCGAAAAATAAAATTTTAAAAAAACCTCCCTCATCTACTTTATTGCCAATAAAATCATAAATAAAATGCTGCCCTCCCTCATCTGTTTGGGAGAAAATTGGCTTGAGAACCAGAGAATTAAATTTAGATAGCCTAAATTGTGGATTTTAAAGATTAAGTGACAATGTGTTTTATGATTATACACCCAGATTAAAATTTAAAAAAGAAAGGTTTAAATGTTCAAGACATGATTTGTTATATTTTATCAAATTTTCATTTTAGTTTGTTGGAGAATACAAATTTTATTTGATTTGTAAAATTATTTTATCAGGAGGAATTAAATTTTTTTACAAAATTTTATTCACAAATAAAAGTGAATGAAATTGGACAGCAGGCAAAGCCTATTTTAGCCCTCTCCCTCAGGAGGTAAAGATATTAAATTGTTTTTGGTTGTATTTTAGAAAATTGATAGAAACTGGCCTAGACAACAAGCTGTTGACTGATTATTTTCCAGTACGTAGAAGCTGTCGCAAACCAAAGTCAGAAATAGAGGTATGGAACAAAGAATAATATTCTAATTTCTAGTTTATGTTACATGCACCAAGTAAATAAAAATAATTTTTTCAATTTCAATTTTTAAGAAAGAAAAACGGGCAGAACTTGAAGAAAAGATATTAAATAATGTGGAGGAAGGATTAGAGGTAATGCATAAATTTCTGTTAATCAATATATAAAGCCACTTTATACAGGAACTTGTATTGAGCAACTTACCTTTATTATGCTTTATAAGCATAATAACATAAAACAATTCCAGAATTTCCTCATTCTATTTGCAAGAAAATTCAAGTAAATTGTAAATTTAAAAGAGAAAGAGAGTAGTGTGTTTTAACAGTATTTGAGTGTTTATAGATAGAGCACTCAATACATTTATTGAAATTCTTGGTAGGTTGCTACTTTGGGAGAAAAAGGTAGAGGAGTCGTTGCCACCAGGAAATTTTTACGAGGAGATTTTGTGGTGGAATATGCAGGGGACCTGATAGATCTTTCCACAGCAAAGCAACGAGAAAAGGAGTATTCTGAAAATCCACAGTTCGGGTGTTACATGTACTACTTTGTTCACAAAAACAGACACTACTGGTAAATTTTCAGATTTATTAAAAATGCAAGAATTTGTGGATGGAAAACATATAAAAAAAAACTTTTCCATGAGTAAAATAACTATATATAATATAACATTGTAGTTGTTAGCCCATGAGCTTCTTGTCAAGGTTAATGTCAAACAAATCTGTTAAAAAAAATATTCAAAAACATGAAACTTCTGCTTCTGTTGTAGCATTGATGCAACAGCTGAAAGTGGAAGATTAGGACGTCTCATAAACCACAGTAAAACATCAGGAAATTGTCATACAAAACTCACGGAGATTAATGCCCGACCCTACCTCATGCTCATGGCTTCCAGAGACATTTCTGTGGGAGAGGAACTCTTATATGATTACGGGGACAGAAAAAAGGAATCCTTAGAATCTCATCCATGGCTCAAATTTTAACAGTGATTTATATACTGAGTGTGGTTGTGTATTGAATTTTCTCTTCAAATGTAATTTGAATTCCATTATATTTAATTTGTTAAGATTCAGTCCATGATGTAAATAGCATTATGTAATACTACTGTTACTGTGTCATTTGTGCATACATGTCATCATTTTGAACAAGCTAGTATCTAGCTGTTAAAATAGCTGTTATGTATACATGTACATTTTACATGATCATCAAGAAATTACAAGATTAAAAATTAGCAATGCTAAAGTGTTCTTTTACATCATATTACTGTAGTGCTTTCGCTTTGCTGATTAACAAGCAGAGGATTTTATGCATTTTATTTTAGTCACTAACAGAGCTCTCCATTGTCTATTCTCAAGGGCTCCAATTGTAAATAACCCCCGATAACTTATGAATACACATTTGGATACACAGTGTATTTCGGGTCTCGGAGTATAACTTTTAATAAGTGCAGGGGCTTCCATATTTCTCAGATGTATCATCCCTTTGGTAAATCATCCCTTTATCATGGAGTTTGGCTTACTTTAAAAAAATATGATCCGTGGCAATAAATTTTGAATGGTTAGTGCTAGGGCTTTTATATTTCATAGGTCTAGTCTTGGTGGAAAGACTTACCCTTGGGTACTCACAATATCAACCCTTTGACATTGGTATTCGACTTGCTTTTGAAAAATTTGGCCATCATTTTTTAATGGCTGACACTAGGGCTTTTTTCCCCGGTGTTTTCCTTGTGACAGGACACCTTTGTTTGATTATACCCACCGCTGAAAAGTGGGAGGGTACATATTGGTCAGAATGTCGGTACATCTTTTACACCTTAGGGTACCCATCTCTTATGTGCAACTCCTCTTTCACCACTGAATGAAATTTAATGAAACTTTCACAGAAACTATGTTACATGGTGCAATGTGACCTCCTTTTTACTTTTTGATTGGACACATATTTTGGATTTCCCACAGCAAAACATGGATACTGCCAGTCTCTAATATTGAAGGATACCCATCTCTTATCCGCAACTCCTCCTATTCCACAGAATAAATTCAATACTTTCAGATTCTGTATAACAAGATCTTAAACAAGATGGTCAATGGGCGACAAAGCTTATCTGATTCAAGATTTTCAATTTCATCAGGGTAAAATCAATCTATTTTTTTTAAGCTCACTTGAGCTGAAAGTGTCCGTCTGTAAAGGATGTATTCGCTTTAACAAAAGAATTGACCTATAGGAGAGAACAATTTCCCGGTAAAAGTGACATTTAAAAATCAATCTTTATTTGTTGTTTTCTACCGTATATATGTCTATTTTTTTAAATTTGTATTTTATACCTAAAATTTATTATTTATAACTTGACAATAAACCTCCAAAGTTGATCGAAACACCATTTTGTCCTTTAAAGCGTTGATTTTTGCATGAATTTTGGCCTTAAAGTCCATCAGGGCAGGCCTGCCCCTAAATAAAATTATGATATTTTGATAGGTTATGATGTAAGGAATAATTTAAGATAAGATTTTTTTAGGGGCACCCCTGCCCTGGGGTCGAAATTCACAAAAAACCTACAAAAAATAAGGAAACCAGATTTTCAAAATCTTCTCTAAATTTATGCCGTTCATTCTTATAATCAGACTAGCTCAGTTGATATATGCGCTGACTTTTATACTTTGCAAACTAACATTTTAAAGTCGGGGGTTTGAATCCACCTGGTACCACACTTTTAAAGTTTTAAATTTTCGCCTTTTCAAAGACTATTTTAATTTTTTTATAGACTTGTGTATTTTTCCTTCAATTGTTTATCCCTTATGCATTCCCATTCTTGATATAAGAAACACTAAAGAGATATTAAATCGTAACAATCCAGTTGTCAGTCAGGTGGAACGAACCTCAGTATAAGCACACTTCGATGAGGACAAGAATAACTCACTATGTGTTACTCAATACAGGTATTCCTGGCAGCATTGAGCTGTGATGAATTTCAATTGTATATTACAATTTAATCACATTGATTTTGGCTTCATATTTCAGTAAATGCACTCACTTGGATTTCATGTAGGCCTTTATAATTTGCACACATTAAAGACAAGTTTTTATTATATCTACGGATAAATAGCCTAGACATTAAGAACAGAATTTCAGAGGCAGTAGACATTACCTTTATGCACAATGAGAAGTAAAGACAAATATCAATTATAACATTTGGAGATAACAAACTCAGAAAATCAATAAAAAGGGTTCCTCCTATCTCTACTCACTGAAATAAAGATTTAGGAAAAACAAATTGTTATATGTATTTAGCCTAATGTCATTAATCAGAACGGAAATCGACAAGCTTTTTGTAGAGAATAAAACCAAGCCCGGTCCTATAGGTCAGATCCCTATTTATAATGAAGTGATCCTTTTTCATATTTTCAACTTCTCAAAAACCACTTAGCAAATTTTAACCAAACTTGGTGCAAAGCATCACTGGGTGAAGGGGAGTTTAAATAAAATGAAGGTCCATCCCCTTCCAAAGGGAGATAATCCAGAAAAGACAAGATAGGTTGGGGTCATTGAAAATTCTCAAGAGCCACTGGCTGACTGGGCTAGAAAAGCTGGAACTTATGTGGAAGCATCCTGGGCAAATGTTCTGTTCAAAAACAAAATGGCCAGTTACTCAGGTGAGCGATGTGGTCCATGGGCATCTTGTTTATACGTAGATAGTTTTCAGTAGGCCCAAATTTAAGGCGTTAATTCCTGTTGGCCACCATATTAATTAGAGGTGAACACGTTCATATTCCTTCATTATTCAACCAACCTAACTTTTTATACTGTGGCAATTGTACAAGTGTGGCAGGAAGGATTGTTTTTCTGAAAAATATATATTAGTTAGAGCCTCCTTTATTTCATAATTTTTTTTCCCCCATAAAGATCTTTCTTCTAATATTTCTGCTACAACCTCTTAAATTTGGTAAGACAAAGAGGAAAAAATTACCAGATTGATCACCAAGATGGAGGTCAAGGGAAATAACTCGATGGGAAAATATGTCATAGGAAAAGTATCTATGCTAGTGTTCACAACAAAGAAGGTACATCAATCTATGATCATATATAACAGATATTTTATTAAAACAAAGTTAATGACATAAAAGACATAACATTTCAATCATCCTCTTCATCGGTGTCTTCCACCAGAACTTGGGGGTGTGGGGGGACCCTGGCCGACTGAGTCCCCTGGGAGGCTGTGCTGCTGGCCTGGGACATGCCAAAAAACATGGACCGAAACTGAAAAACAAAACAAATACTTAACATAAAAGAAACTCATGTATCTACAGAAAACCTCAATATCAAGTTACATGTTTGATCCTGCATTATTTTTAGCCCCCTCTAAATATATATTAATTTGTTACATGTATATATTCCTAAGGACACAAGTAAAGCAGGATCGAATCCTCATGATTTATAGAGCTACCTGTTGGAGGCGAGAGAATGTTTAAGGAAATGCCTGCAAAACTGTATTAAAAGATAAGTTTATATATTTACTGACATTAGGTACAGGTATAAGGTATTGTGAAAAGTTAACATTTTTAAAACTCGGTAAAAACTGTCTAATCCAGTGCCTGTGTAATCCATCTGGTCGTGAATTCCACCCTTTATTTGGAATCCACTTTTACTACTTACTTTTTTCTTTGGTGGTGTTCCAGGAACTGGCTCATCTTCTTCCTCTTCCATATCAACATCTTCAATGAGGCTCTAAAGAAGAAGGAGAAACATAGAAACCAGAGGCCCTTATCACTGGTCACCATAGCTGCAATTATGTAGCCCTCTCCAATTTTTTTAAATATATTTTCTCAAAAATATAGGGGCGGCATTATTGCAGCTATGCTGAACTAAGTAATCTCATTAAAAAAATTTATCAAAGTTTTTTTTATGTGATCCCACACTATAGTAAAAGCTATGCTAAAAACTATCTAAAAGCTGAGTGATATACATGTGATGTTATTTATAAAGTCTGCCAAATTACTTTTGAAAATTAGTATTTTAATGGCTTATTCTCCCCTTTTATTTCATAATGCTTTTCTGACCCAAGGATTTTTATTCTAGTTTGAATGAGATTTTAGAGACAGAAATTGACATGAATGTTGTTTATAACCATATTCTTGCACACTTATAATACATAAGATTATAAACCTTTGTAATCTTGAGAAAATTTAAAGTGAAAATTCACTATTTTATTCTGGTACTTAAGAGGAAGACAATGATAACTCCTGACCTTGTGTAGTTGGTTAGGTATGACAGGACTTCTATAACTACTGGAGGTAGATATTTGTGATGTGGTTTGGTTGCTGTGTCGGGCAAACACACTCTCTGCCTCGAATACTCTGTCTGTGTCATTTTTCTCTGTTGATGAATTTCCAGCAGCTTTTACTATGTTGGGTACTCGTATCTCATCATCAAAATCTTCTTTTGAGAATGAATTCATGTGGTGGTCATTTCTGTGTGCAATGATGAATAAATACAAAATATGATTTTAAACAACAAACTCATTGGCCACAATGTTCCCCTGAAATTTTGGTTAATGAAAAAAGAAATTGTACATACTGAAATGTCAAACAACAAATTAATTGGTCTAATCTGAATGGAAATTTTATTTAAAACATGCTACCTTTAATCATTAGTTCTTTTCATTTGATTGACAGCTTGTTATTACCTGTGTCCATTTAGATGTGAGTCATTGCTGTTGTTTGATTTATTCATATGATGTTGATGTTGACCTCTCCATGTCTTTTTTGTTCTTCTTGATTGGGACTTCATAGCAGAGCTATACAAGTATAATTGCATAATGTAATCGGAGAATTTTTTTTAAAAAACATCATTAAAGAATGCAATGGTACCTGGTAAATACACAAATAAATACAATGTACAGGGTGTACTTGATTTATCTTTACCAATGTACTAGATTTATCTTATCTTTACCCTTTTTTTTAATTTAAAAAAAATCTTCCCCTATATTCAAAACAATTAACTTTGACCTCTTATTTTAATCCTATTCTAGCTTCAGGGGTCCCCAATTTTTTTCAAAGATTATGTAATATTTTTTTCTTTGCATTGTGATTCTTACAAGGCACTTATTAAATGCAATGCAGCAAACTACAATTTGTAACCTCTGTAGTCAACAAATCATACCATACTGTAAAATCACTTATTTTGTGGGGCCAAATTTCCATGGTTTGAGGAAAATTACTGATTCGAGGGGATTTGATTTCATGGCTAAA